TCCAGCTCCATTCATGCTGTTGCAAATGGTAGGAGTTCCTTGCTTTTTACAGCAGCATAGTATTCCATTGTGTAGATGTACCACAGGTTTTTGATCCATTCATCTGCTGATGGGCACTTAGGCTGATTCCAAATCTTAGTTATTGTAAATTGTGCTGCTATGAACATAGGGGTGCACATATCCTTTCTGATTGGTATTTCTAGTTTCTTGGGATATATTCCTAGAGGTGGGATTACTGGGTCAAATGGAAGTTCCATTTTTAGTTTTTTGAGGAAACTCCATACTGTTCTCCACAGTGGCTGCAGCAGACTGCATTCCCACCAGCAGTGCACGAGGGTTCCTTTTTCTCCACATCCTCGCCAGCACTTGTCATTTGTTGATTTATTGATGATAGCCATTCTGACAGGTGTGAGATGGTACCTCATTGTCATTTTGATTTGCATCTCTCAGATGATTAGTGACTTTGAGCATGTTTTCATATGTCTCTTGGCCTTCCTTATGTCTTCTGGAGGGATCTCAATACCAGATATCATGATGTATTACAAAGCCACTGTTCTCAAAACTGCCTGGTACCGGCACAAGAACAAACATATAGACCAATGGAATAAAACAGAGAACCCAGAAATCGACCCAAACCACTATGCTTAATTAATATTTGACAAAGGAGGCAAGAACATACAATGGAGTCAAGACAGTCTCTTCAATAAATGGTGCTGGGAAATTTGGTCAGACACATGCAAAAAAAAAAAAATGAAACTAGACCACCAACTTAAACCATGCACAAAAATAAACTCAAAATGGATAAAGGACTTAAACATAAGACAGGAAACTGTAAAAATATTATAGGAATCCACAGGCAACAAAATTTCAGATATATGCCAAAGCAATATCTTCACTGATACAGCTCCTAGGGCATTGGAAACTAAAGAGAAAATAAATAAATGGGACTACATCCATATTTGCCAATGATATCCTGATAAGGGTTTAATCTCCAACATTTATAGGGAACTCACACAACTTAACAAAAGGAAGACAAACAACCCAAATAAAGTCCAAATTGTAAAAAAATTTTTAAATTTTTTTTAAATTGTTTTAAGTATAACTTATACAATTTCGAACAGGATTCCTTTTGTGTCCTGAATTGTATTGGTGTTGGCTGCATTACCAAACCCACTAACTGGGCATTTTTATTAACAACTGGAAAATGCTTATTTTCCAGGGAATTTAAAGGAGAAGTCATTGGAAACAATACATGTACTTTTTCCTAACTGATGGTTAGAATCTAGAAATGGAACAAAGTGAATAATTTCCAAGAGAAGGGTGATAAGCTGATAAAGTGTTATTACTAACTTCAAGTTAATCATCAGACTCCTGTAACTTAGATTCCTTATCTCCAAGGTGGTGATTAGCTTGAAATCACCACCTTGGAGGTAAGGAATCTGAGAATAAACATCTCACAGATCATTATAACACTGAGCTCACCTCTCCCTTTCTTTTTAAGATGAATACATTTAGCTTGAGGAGAAGAGTGGGTAAAATTGATAAAGTTACACCGTGATATTTCCATTCCAACAGAGAAAAGCTGTATTGATTTAAACAGCAATAGTTACAAATTAATGGAAATGTCATTCTCAAGAATGAGTCTTAGAGTTGGGAGAGGCTGGAGGCTTGATGGAGCCTCTCTGTTCCCGCCACAGATGAGCTGTCTTCTCTTCTTTCCAGAGCTGTTATTTTACCTGGAAGGTACCCTTTCCAGGAGTGGTTGAGCCCACTTCCCACCCTTATTACAAGGGCACTGTCCAACCCCACGCTTTTGTCTTCATTACCTCTGAGAATGTCCCACTTGGCCACTCTCTTAAATTTTGTTGCCACAGGAATAAAGGGGGGCCTCTGAACATCACCCTTCTCTTCTAATATAAAGACAAGGTAGAAAAGCAGTGTGTGTGTGATTGCTAAGTCATTCCCAGGGTTTGTTGTTACCCTGGGGGTTTGTTTCTTGTCCTTTGGCATGGGAACTCTTTGCTTCTGTTTCCCTAACATACTTTTTTCAAGTTACTTAGAAGGGAAAAAATATATTGATTAGTACATTATTCAAGAGATCAATAAGCCTTATGAAATATTGTCAGGCTAAATTAATGATTAAATTCTTTTTAAAAAAATACTTTTATTGATTTCAGAGAATGGAGAGGGAGAGAGAGCTAGTAACATCAATAATGAGAGAGAATCATTGATTGGCTGCCTCCTGCAAACCCCACACTGGGGATGAGCCTGAAACCTGAGCATATGCCCCAACTGGCAATCGAACTTTGACCTCCTGGTTCATAGGTCAACACTCAAACATTGAGCCACACTCAGCAGGCAATGATTAAAGTCTTACTCCTGAGAATCACTTGCCCAAATGGAGAATGGAAGTCTTATCACTGAAAATACCCTGAGAAGTTTGGACAACACAATCTTTGCTAAATTTCAGATTGTATTATTGAGGTGTGCTTCTAAATTGATCTTGTCACATTTACTTTCAATCTGATAAATCTGTATTAGAATATTTATTGCCAGATATTTTCCCTTTTCTCTACAATATGGCTAGGTCTTCCTCGAAATCACTCTTTAGTCAAATTTTACTAAGCCATTAGTATGATTTAAAATTTTACAATAATGTACAACTTGTATTGTATTGCTAATGTATACTTTTAAATTTAGATGAAATTCTTTACATTTGGCAATTTTGTTGTGATATTGTAAAGTTATGATTTCTGAATTATTTTTAAAAATATGTTTTTGTCAACTATTTGATTATAAGAGCTGTGTGAATAAGGAAATATCCAGGTTTTAGATACCATAAGAGGTTTTCTTGATATTTGCTTTCATTTCCTATTCTTCCATTCAACTGTTCTATGACTTCACATAAATTAATCACACCTCTGTGGTAGTTTCTTCCCGTGTAAACTGGGAATGACACTTTCTCTCTGCTCCCTAGAGATAAGTAGATCTGTGGCTTAGGGTTTTAAAACTTTTGGATTCGGTGGCTCAGAGCTGCAGTGTCACTTCTAATATGTGTTACTACATTTTCCAGTTAGTAAGCATTTCCACAAATCAGATTAAAAATGCATGGTACTGAATCACCATGTTTAATACAAGAAATGAAATGTAAAGACCTTGACTATTAAAATACTTACAAGGTTAATATTAGATTGTTCCAATCACATGTACAAAGTTTAAAGGAAAACTGTTATGTTTCATGCTATTAATTCCATTTACTAGCTCCGATTGAATATTATTTCCTCCACGATGTTGTATCAGCCAGGAAGCAGTCACCCTGTCTCTATAACTCTCTAAAGACTTTCACATGTAACTCTTATGGTTCTTCCCACAGAACTTTGTGGATGTGGAGTGTTTTCCATGTCTGGTCTCCTCTCTGCTTCCTGATGCCAGGAGCATGTATTCTTTGTCTTTGATTTTTCTAGTAAGGCTGTTATTGACATGATCAAAGACTATTGGCAGATCTGGGCTTACTGTGGCCACTTCTGTAAATTGGGAGCAAAAAATGTTAAACTCTAGTTGTTTCAAGGAGTATACAAGGTAAAACTACTGCATGTGCTAAGAATTACATAATATTCATTGGTTTTCCCCTCTGTGCCTCCACATTTTCATCTAGTACTCAGTTAGAATAAAGTTGCTCAATTTGAGTAAAATAAATGTTGAATGACATTTTGCACTGGCAGCTTAGTTGTAAGGATACTGACTGGTCTGACCTGACTCAGAACACCTCTTGCTAATTTTGTGATCTTGAACAGTTTCTTTAACTTCTCTAAATCAGAGGATGATAAATTGTGGCTCATGGACTAAATATAGTCCACTGCTGGTTTTCGTATGGTTTGTGAGATAAGAATCGTTTTTACATTTTTAAAAATTGAAAAAAGTAAAAAAGAATAATATTTCATGACATAAAATTATATTAAATTCATAGTTTAGTATGCATAAAGAAAGTTTTAATAGAATACAGTCATGCTTATTCATTTATGTATCATCTATGGCTGCTTTCATGGTACAGTAGTTTAACTATATGGTTCATGGAGCCTAAAATATTTATTGTCTGACTCTTTGCAGAGAAAGTTTGCCTATTCTTGTTCTAAACCTCAATTTCCTCTTCTGTACAATAGGACAAATAGTACCTATTTCAGGGAGGTTTGAGATAATGTGTGAAAAATTCTTTGTACAGGGTCAATGATATTAAATACTCAGTAAATGTTAGCCATTGATGTTATTATAATATTTATAGTTCTTAATCATCTCATAATTTGTTTAGTGAAGGTGGATCAAAAATTCTCTCCCATTATACTCACTAAAATTGATTATTTTGTATTATAATTATTTAAATTTTTAATTAAATTTTTATATTTTTATTAATTATTTAATTTTGTTACATTTCTATTAGAATATCTTGGTATTTCTGATGTTCAAAGACCTCCCCAACATGCCCTCAACCAACTTTGCCATTTAATTTTCAGTTACTTTCCTTTATCTGACTATCTCTAGCTCAGCTGTACATCCAATGACCTTTTCCCACTTTTCCACTTCTGTATCCCCTTCATCTCCCATTTCCACATGCCAGGTCTAATCCATCTTCCAAATCTGGTACCAGCATCACTCCCTTCACAGAATTCCTTTATTATTTGTATGTACACTATGCCACACAATCTCCCTTCCCCAACAACAGCAACAAAAACAAGCACAAAAGAATTTGGGAGGAAATTCATTCTCCGGGACCTAGTGAGCATTTTATTTCTACATAGTAGAGCACACATCACTTTCTTGCTTGTGTTTTAATTATGCATATACTTCTTATCTGGACTCTTTCAGGAAAATACCATTGTTATTGATCTGTGTAGTCAGTACAGTACCCCAGATGTGTTTGCACATCGAAGTACCTAACGTGTTTTTTTAAATGCATAAATTTTTCTTTCCTTCTGACTTTTGGATTTTTGGCTCTTTTCAGACAGAATTCCTTGATATAAGCCAGCTGTCTTTCATTCATGATTTGGGACCAAAGGGCATGTAAGTTCCTGTGTTGGATCTTTAAAGAGAATATAAATATTGATGAGTATTAACATTTGATTTATCGGCATGCCAGGATGATGGAACTCATCTGGTTTTACTGGTAGCTTCTCCCCATCAGAGGCAGAGCAACTGAGGGGATCTATTTAGGCAAAACGGAATATCTTGCTACATTAAACAAAGGTAGCAATTGCTACCCTCTTTCTTATGTGCTTATAGCACCAATTTCCTATAATCCCACAGTTGCCCTGTTTAATACAGGTAACAAATATGATGTGGGAGAATGTATTAAAAATCAAACATACTATATTATATATTTGAAAATCTCTAAGACATTGTTACAATAATAATTATAACTGTGAAACAATAGATGCTAGCTAGACTTATTGTGGTGAACAATCACTTTACATTATATACAAATATCAAATCACTGTACTGTATACCTAAAACTAATATACTGTCAATAATGTCTCAATATAATGTTATATGTGAATATCTCAATTTTTAAAAAATCAAATATACAAGATTCCCTTCTAATTGCTTATAAAAGTTAGTTGCTTATCACTCATTTCCATGACTAAAAATAATACTGTGTAAAAGGTATGTTATGTAACAAGATTGAAATTTACTTAATTATTCTTTTCCTTCACAATATGAGAGCTTGGTATGATAAAGAGCTGAACTTTTTTAAGTAAAGATCATTGTTAGTGGAGTGCTTTAAGGATGAGCTGCTAGGACTCATCCTAGCAAATAGGGTATTGAGCTGTTTGAAGTAGGAGAGAACAGGCAGGAAAGTCGAGAGAATGAAACAGTTTATTTAGTCCCAATTTGCAAGATTGTCTCAGCTAAGAGTGAGCTGGAAATTTGAAGATGATGGGTTACCTTGATGTCTCTTTCAGAGAAGGCATGATAATGAAAAGATCTGGAGGACACAGGATACCTGGCTTGAATTGCTGTGGTCAGGGAAGAGCCTGTTACCGGTGGTCAAGAAGGTAGGACTTAGGAGTTTTATGTATATTTTTTTAATAAACTAGATATTTGGGGAATTTTTACATACTAGTTTTAAATTAAATTATAAATCAGTTATAAATCCTTTGAAAGTCATAACAGAGAAAATTTTAAGTTCCAAATTTCATTATTTCCTAATATCAAACTATACTATAAGGCCATAATAATCAAAACAGCATGGTACTGGCATATAATCATACATATAGATCAATGGAACAGAATAAAGAGCCCAGAAATAAATCCACACCTTTATGGTCAATTAATATTCTACAAAGGAGGCAAAAACATACAATGGAGTAAAGATAGACTATACATTCAATAAATGGTGATGGGAAAATTGTACAGATATGTACAAAAAAATAAAACTAGATCACCATAACCTTCTTACACCATACACAAGAATAAACTCAAAATGAGTTAAAGACTTAAATATAAGACTCAAAACCATACAAATCCTAAAAGAAAATATAGGCAGTAAAATCTTGGACATTTCTTGTAGCAATATTTTTTCTGATATGTCTCCTCAGGCAAGAAAAAATAAACAAATAAACAAAAGAAATAATAAATAAACAAAAGAAAAAATAAACAAATGGTACTACATCAAACTGAAAAGTGTTTGCACAGCAAAAGAAACCATTAACAAAATGAAAAGAAAAACCACTGAATGTGAGAACATATTCTCCAATGATACATCTGATAAGGAGTTAATATCCAAAATTTGTAACGAATTATAAAACTGAACACTAAAAAAACAAACAATCCAATTTAAAAAATGGACAAAGAACCTGACACTACTCCAAAGAGGACACACAGATGGCCACTAGACATATGAAAAGATGCTCAACATCACTAATCATGATAGAAATGCAAATTAAAACCATGAGATATCACTTCAGATCTGTCAGAATGTTTACCATCAATAAATCAACAAACAACAAGTGTTGGTGAGCATGCAGAGAAAAGGGAACCCCCATGCACTCTTGGTGGGAATGCAGATTGGTACAGTCACTGTGGAAAACACTATGGAGTTACCTCAAAAAAATTAAAAATGGAACTGCCGTTTGACCCAGACATTCCATTTCTGGGAATATATCCAAAGAAACTCAACACACTAATTCGAAAGAACCACCACGTTCATTGCAGCATTATTTACAATTGCCAAGCTCTGGAAATAGCCCAAGTGCCACCAGTAGATGAGTGGTTAAAAAAGCTGTGGTACATTTACACAATAGAATACTACACAGCTGTAAAAATAGAAGGAAATCTTACCTTTTGCAACAGCATTGATGGACCTCGGGAGTATTATGCTAAATGAAACAAGCCAGTCAGAGAAAGACAAATCCCATCTGATTTCACTTACATGTGGAATCCAATGAACAAAATAAACAACCTACCTAAATAGAAACAGATTCATGGATACAGAGAACAAATTGACAGTTGTTAGAGGGGTAAGGGCTTGGGGGGGGGGGGTGCTGGATAAAAAAGGTAAAGGGAGTAAGCAAAAAAAAACAACAAAAAAAACAACCCAAAATTCATAGACACAGATAATAGTGTGGTGATTACCAGAGGGAAAGGAGTATAGTGGGAGATGGAAGAGGGTAAATGGTGGATAAATGGTGATGGAAGAAGATTTGACTTTGGGTGGTAAACACACATTATAATATACAGATGATGTATTATAGATTTGTACACCTGAAACCTATATAATTTTATTAACCAATGTTACCCCAATAAATTCACTTAAAAATATGGCCAATATCAAGTGTTGACAAAGATGGAGAAAAATCAGAACCCTCAGACATCGCTGGTGGGAATGTAAAATGGTTCAGCCACGTTGGGAAACAGTTCCTCAAAATATTAATTAGAGTTGCCATATGCCCCAGCATTTCTACTCCTATGTGTTCACCCAAGACAATTGAAAAATATGTCTCTATCAAAACTGTACATGACTGTACATAGCAGCATTATCCAGAAGAGCCAAAAAGTGAAAACAACCCAAATGTCTATCAATTGATGAATGCTTAAATAAAATGTGGTATTATAATACAGTAGATTATTATTCAGCTATAAAAAGGAATGAAGTCTACTAATGGGTATGGGGTTTCTTTCTGGGTTGATGAAAATATCTGGAATTAGATGGCCATGATGGTTGCAAACTTTGGGAATACATTAAAAACCACTGAATTGTATACCTTTAAAGGGTGAGTTCTTTGATATGCGAATTATATCTGAAAAACATTTTTAAACTTTTAATAAAAAGAATGAAGTACTGATGCATGCTATATCATGAAGCAACCTTGAAAATGTTGCAACAATAACTTACTGGGATTTTGAAAAAAAAATACAAGAAATATATGCTATTTTTAACCTTGAAAAAGATATATGAGCTCATGTGTAAATATGAAACTGAGCTGTGTTTGTGTTAAAAAATATATATATAAACTTAAAACTGGGATCTGTCTTTAAACATTAAGATACAGTGCCAACAAAAAATATTAAATTGGGCTTTAATTTGGGGGGGTTTTGAAAGGGTCAAAAAAATTAGAAGGAAAAGATGGAAAGCTCAGATTAAAGAAATTTCAGTGTTATAAAAAGAACAGTTTTACTACAATAAAAAAGGAAATAATGCACTATAAAATATTTTCTTTCAAATAAACTCTGGAACCTACGTAAAGCTCTTTTAGATGGAATAGCCAGGGAAGGCCTACCTGTGGAAGAACATCTAAGCAGAGGGCTGACCGACAAAAGGGGTCATCCATGGGGAGGGATCTGGGAGAAACAGCTTCGAAGCAGAGGAATAGTGAATGCAGGAGCCCGAAGTAGAACAAGATTGTCAGGCTGAGGAACAGCCAGACACAGGTGGTGGGAGAGGAACAGGTGGGAAATGGAGGCTGGAAGAAGG